CAGCTACTGTGAATGAACCTCGCCGTGAGAATTGGTTTGAGGTGATGGGATTATTATTAGGACACTTCCGTGAGGGCGAGATGACTGTCACCGGCGCCTTTGGACTCCCCGTGGATGCGAGTGAAGTGGAGTGCTCCATGAATGATGCCTCGCAACTGTACATGCTGGATTTCCTACAATACTATCAACGAGGCGGTATACATCGGGAATATGAATATCAACAAGAAGAACAAGAAGGAAAAGAGGGAAAAGAAGAAGAAGAGGAAGAAGAGGAAGTGGAGGGTTGTATTGGTTGGTATCACAGTCATCCGGGATACACCTGTTTTCTCTCCGGCACAGATGTGGACACACAACAGTTAAGTCAATCTGCACAAGACCCGTGGCTCGCCATTGTGGTAGATCCCGTGCGCACAATTGCAACAGGAAGATTAGATATGAAGGCCTTTCGCACCTTTCCAGAGGCTTATGCAGAGAAGTTGCGGGGGAAACAACAACAACAGGAAGAAGAACAAGAAAAACAAAAACAGGCAAGACATACTAATACTTCTACTACTAATAATAATAGTAATAATAATAATAGCATGAATACTACAGGCGGTGGAGAGTGGAGGAGAAACATGACATCCACTACATCTGCTCCTATTGGTGGTAGTAATAGTCATCATCATATGAATATGAATATGAATATTAATAATAATAGTATTAGTATTAGTGGCTCAGTGCCATCTGAACGCATTAGAGAGTATGGTGTGCATGCCCATCGTTATTATGAACTCCCCATCACACTTGTACGCAGTAAGAATGATGAGGCATTATTAGACCGTCTTTGGTGTCGCTATTGGGCCTTAACATTCATGACTAATCCTCTCATCTCCAACCGATATTTAATGACACAACAAATACACCAATTGGCTACTGTGCTGGAGAATAACACTGCTGCTGGTAAAGGCTTTGTGAGGAGTGGAAAACAACAACAACATCAACAACGACAGAAATATCAAATAAATACTCTTGGAGGAGGAGGAGCTATTATGGATGTTGATAGTGATAATAATAATGATGAGGATGATGATAATAATAATGATGCGTTTGAACAGAGTTGTGTTCAAGTACGTTACTTGGCATCCTCATTAGCGTCTGAAGTGACATTAGGTGGTACTCTCATCTCAGTAAAGAATGCTGCTTTTTCCGTCTAGTAGTGTATATTCTGTATACATATTTATTTATTTTTGTTTCGATGTACACACCTTCTGGTTTTTTATTTTATTTCTACTCTTGAAAATGAAATAAAGAGGATAAACCAACGTATACACATATGACTATACGCATGATCCTAATCATCGCCATAGTGAGAAAAAGTGTTTATCTTTC